CTGCACATCATTGTGACCTTTGACCCAGTTGCATTTGCCGGCTTCACTGGCTTTTTGATTTATTTTCTCACTCTGATCCACCAGGCAAGATAGAGTTGGTCTGAAATTGATAAATACATACTTCAATAACAAAAGCAAAATGAAATCTCGATGCCACATATGGCATTAGAATATATTGTTGGGGTGGGATGCATGCCTTAGCAAAGCAATCTCAGAGAAGACCAAACCTTGAGAGAATTGTGAAATACAGAGGCTCTGTTCCAAAACTTAGTCAACTGCCTTGCAATATACTCCCTACATAGAGAGTTACCTTCTAAGGCAGCCTCTAAACCCAAGTGACCAACTTCAATTGACCATGTCACTTCCATAATCATGTGATTTTGTAACTTTAAGTGGAGTTAGCATGTCGCTAAGCTAACACTGTGATAGGCTACTAAATGCATTTACTTAAGCATAAAAATGCAGTACAATTTTAAACAGTAAATTTTAATTACACCCTGAACTGTTTTACCAATACTTTTTAATCTATTCATAAATAACATTTTTCTCAATTTGCCCTCCATCCTGGATGTTTTTTTGTTTGACTGAGATCAATTCAGTGCATTGTGTGGGATGGCCTTCTCCAAGTAGGAAACATGATGTTGCCTTGGAATTGGGCCAAAAAGAAGATATTTTAAAAGGCAGCAATAATTAATTAGAATGTGTCATGGTTCTCTTGTAAGCGCGCATGTCTGAGATGTATGCGGAAGCGTGTCTGTAAATAAAGATATATATATTTTTGTTTTTGTTTGCATCACTCCATAAAATTTGGATTAAACTACTTTTGTGATGCATGAATGACTTTTTGATGCCTTTTTACAGGTTGACATTTTTGGTTGAATGGAAAAAACCTCAGGTTTCATTAAGAATATATATTATTTGTGTTGCAAAATTTTATGGGTTTAGAACGGCATGAGGGTAAGTAACTGATGACAGAAATTTAATTTTTGTGCAAACTATCCTCTTAAACAGGAAATTTTATAATTCACAAGTATTGCATTATTTAGTATATTAGCCTTCAATTTTATTTATGTACTAAAAAATCCTTGGTTTTCTTTCTTGATGAACTGACGGTACTTATTGACAATGCACAGGCATAATCACATGAGCAAAGCCGGCAGCTCACACACTCATCCGTGTTGCTCCATTAATTAGCTTTCCTATTCAGTACCTCACATTCCTAATGTGTTAATAATGGTTGGATCTAGCGTCCAATAACACTTTGGCTGCCAAGCCGCTACCCGCGAATACACGCCAGTGCTCTGTGATTTCTGTCCGCTCAGTCCATCCAAAACCTCCTCCACTATTATTACACACATTATCCATTATTGTCTTTCTCACATCATCCCTCCATTATATTAGATACTTCTTCCTTCAAAAAACATAGAAAGACCTCATGAAATTGCCTGATGATGGCAAGTGTTTTTTGGTGTATGTGATTCACACACCACTATACTTGCCACATTCCCTGCTGATGATAAGCAAAAAGAATGCAGACATAAGTACTAAAAAACTGGTTTACTCCAGGGGCCTAATTAGGTCAGCATGTTTTGCGTCTTTGAGAACTCATTTAGAATTCTGCTTCCGCAAGGAATCGGAATATGATTTTGATGTAATTATTCCATCCCCCAACCCCACCACCCCCTCAATGCTCGACCCCATGATGCTTTGTGTGCTCTGAAACGTTTCACATTTGCTGTTGTTTTACCAGTGTGGGTGAGTGTGGGTGTGTGTGTGTGTGTTTGTGTGTGTGTGTGTGTGTGTGATATGAAGTGTTCTAGAGCTCTGTGGCTCTGTCTCTTGTATTGTTTGGTGGGCTTCTACAGAAAACTGTTGTGTTGCACTTTCTTTAGATGTGCTTTCCAAAAAAACCTATTGTCCTAGAAGGTGATCAGCCAAGACTCAAAGAGTGCTGGCGTAAACCGTAAATGTTCACTGACAGTTTGAAAGAACACACATTAACTCACAGGACAATGACTTCGCTTTTTCGCCAGTGTTTGCCAAGCTTTACCACTGTTAGCGCAGCAGCATAAACTCTCCTTTTTCATGCAAACAAGTTGTGCTGTTTAATGAAACTCACAATGGAGTGACCGCTCTTTAATCTGTCATACAGATGCTTACTTGTGGTGCCATAGATCATAACATGCCTTTCATTTTTGTCCTATTGAATTCAAACTAACTAACTAACTAAACTAACTTTATTTATTACCAGTGATTATATAAGGTCTGTGGACAAACTGAGAAGTGATCAAGAACATTCTTTGTGCAATAAACGGCCGTCCTTATGCTGGGTTCAGACTACCCAATATCAGCCCAATTTTGCCTCGATCCATTTGACATAAGGTGTCGTGGTGGTGTTTCGTAAATAACAATGGGCGTCGGGATGCAAGTATCGATCGTTTTATCTCGTATAGTGTGATAGTGGACGACAACCGACGCTGCGTCTGTGACGCTTCACGATTTCATGACAAAGACTAGGATTTTTTTATTTTTTCCCGGTCCTCTACGACGGGTTCCGTCACATCTGTGAAGTTGACCAGTAGGAGCACAGAAGCTCTTTCGTACACAGCTTGCAAACATGGCCAAACGAAAGAGAGGCGATGGTATTTATTGGTCTTGCTCGGTGGAATTATGCAATGGAGGAAAAGATTAAATATCTGAAAAGTCCTGTAAACGTCACCAGGTTAATTTATGATATTTTGATTCAACATTACAATGTCAAAGGATTTTTAAGAATGAATCATACGCACGGATGAATTGTTCAAAGATCTGTAATATGCATTTAGATAGAAAATAGGTGAATTTTCATTTCATGTCAACTTTAAAGTAACACCAGGGAACTTTTGCTCTCGGGGTGGGGTCCCCCTACAGTTGGGAAACAGTATTGTCCTCTAGACCTCTACTACTGTCGTAAACTCTGTCATCCTACATGCACGTGCAATTGTTGACAACCACGATAGCCCTGAACACTGTAGGAGGAGGTCACATGCAGGTGTTCTGCTTGCGTCGCGTGTGAAATGTCTTCATCCCAGGTACAGTGGCATATATTTTAGCATGTCATATGAATATAATTTCATGAGTTTTATTTTTTTTTCTAACGACAAATGATCGCGATGATCACGTTTACAAGCCAGCGTCATTATAGTAGCCTAGTCTATTGGTTACCGTTTTACTGAATCTATATGATACTTCAATGCAATGTTTGAGTGGTTGATAATAACCATATATCGTCAATATTATAATATCAAGCTACCATAAATTAATCTGCAAATTTTACAAATCGATTTGCATTATAGCTTGAGGCAAGACAAATAAACAAATATCACAGACATGTTAGGTATCCTAAAATATGATTTTGTACATCTTATATATTTACTTGCAAGAATGGAGCCCCTACCAAACTTGTGCACGCCGTTTAGACACAGGTTTTCATTTGATTTTTTATTTTTTTGCCAAGTCCGCATCGGTCGGGCACCCCTCCTCCAATGTTGATCCTCGTTCTGCGTTTAACGCGATCACTTTCTCTTTTTCTCTTTTTGTTTTGCTCCGATAAAGCCTTTGCTTTCTTGTTTTTCTGTGCTGCTTCGGCCATGACTATAACATTTGGCTCGCACGTCCGATTTTAAGGAAGTGGGGGTGGTGGTGGAAGTGACGTATATGCCGTAAAGCAGTCGAATTTTGTAGTTCTCTTTGTTCGCCGGTTATTACCCGAAACCCGAAGTTTAAAAGTATGATTAAAAACGCTACAGACCCCGTCAGGCTATGGCAGACGTGTCAATCAACATATTGTAAGTCGATGTACCATCACAAGAGACTTATATTATGGAAATATATTATGAAGGTTGAAAAGTAACCTAGTGCTGCTTTAAAACACATAAAACACATAACACATTTCACGTGCCCTATAAAATCAGCTCAGAATCTGTATTTTGCACACAGAATATGAAGACTTTTTTGGTGACATGTTTTTTATATTCTATTTATATTTATTACTTTTATTACTTACTTTCATCCTTCTATTACTTTATGTGTATATATATATACATATATACATATATATATATATATATATATAGCTAGATATTTTGGCTTTTTTTTCTTATTTAATCTTATTACATTGTCATTACTGTAATTCAGTATTTTACAGTTTCACAGGAAATATTGCCATTTACAATTTTGTTTTATTTAAATCAGCATACATTTTCAGTGGCAGTTTCAATGGTAACATAATATGTAAACTCTTTAAAATGTAAATACATATGTACTAATAATATATATATATATATATATATATATAGTCTATATAATAATAATATATATAATAATATATATATATATATAATATATAGTCTATATATTAAATCATGTTTCTTAAGGACAATAATGCCTTTTAGGAACACTGGTATATATATATATATATATATATATATATATATATATATTATATATATATATTATATATATATATATATATATACCAGTGTTCCTAAAAGGCTTTATTGTCCTTAAGAAACATGATTTTGTTTTTCTTTGTTTCGACCCTTACATTCCGTAAGATTTATCCGACTACTCTAAATTCTGTCAGTGCGATGCCAGTTCACACCACATGAACAAAGTCTTTGCAAGAATCGCACACAGTGCTTGTTTTAGTCCAAAGAAGAGTTGTCATGGAAACGCTGCACTTAAATTCACCATCCAGATTCCAGACAATATAAAAGCCTAGAGAGGTGTATCGGGGTGAGAAAACAACAAGCCTTTTCAATCCCTTTTTCTTGTCTTGGTGTCAGTCTCTCTCTCTCTCTCTCTCTCTCTCTCTCTCTCTCTCTCTCTCTCTCTCTCTCTCTCTCTCTCTCTCTCTCTCTCTCTCTCTCTCTCTCTCTCTCTCTCTCTCTCTCTCTCTCTCTCTCTCTCTCTCTCTCTCTCTCTCTCTCTCTCTCTCTCTCTCTCTCTCTGTCTAGCTTCTCCCTCTGTCTTTCTCTCCTTGAAATGGATAAAAGCAAATATTTAGAAGTCATTTCTTCTGTATTTGTTTGGGATTTATGCAAATGACTCCAGACAGATTATTTTGGGAGCGCTGGACTCATTTTGAGATTGTGTGGGGAGAGCTGAAGAATTGTGAGATGATACGCTCCATGAAATAGTTACCTGCATGTGATAGAGAGACAGAGAGAGAGAGAGAGCAAAAACTGCGGTTATCGCAGCAGAAACAACCCTTTCTTTTCGCTGTAAGGATTGCATAGCAACAGTACATCTCAAAGCCAGAGAAACAGATGCATATCCTTGAGGAAGACCAAGGAAGATGTGTCAAAGGTAGGAATCGATCGGGACTAGCACAGCAGAGGGAGTCAGAGCAGTGTTTGCTAATGATCTCTGAACTGTAACGTCTTTTACCATTCGAGAATTTCTAAGGCTACATTGATGTGGCAGCAAGGGAGTGTGATTACAATCTTAAAACTGTGATTGTGTGCTAGCTAGGTCAGAAAGAGCTCGAATTTGCAGGTTATTTTGAGACCTTGGCTCTAGGTAAGAAAACCTAGATAGCTGGAGGTAAACATCCGTCTCCTACAAGAACAGTATGTATACAATGCTAAACTATTTTTGTTTTCTGTGAAGCTCTGAATTGAATGATGCAATGCTAAACATAGTAGTCTTCTGCCAGCACATTAAAACACTGACAAATAATGTGCGTAAATGTTCGAGATAATGCAGACAATACCGACAATCCAAAAATGGAAATGGATTTGCTGCTACTTGGGGTCGTCTTTTGTTAGTGGGGCTGCCTTAATGAAGCGTCCCACCCTGGTCCACTTTCTTCTGGTGGTGGGCTGGCGATTCGATACAGTGTCATCCCACAATGGGAGCCATCCAGCTGTGCAGCTCTGTGAAGTGTCAGGAATCTTTGCAGGTTTGGATCCGGGCCACTTGCAGTTCAGAACATGTTGTGTATTGAGAGAGAGCTGTTGTGTACACCAGCAAGGGGCCGTTAACACAGAACACATTTTTCTATTCCACTCTGCTACTTTTCCATTGTTTTTCAATGTAAACGCGCTAGACGGACATCTTTAACCGTTGGAAATGCGTGCCAGTTAGAGCTGCACGACTAATCGGTAAAAGATCGCGATCTTATTCAAACACCCATGCAATTTTATTCCGTAGTGACAAAGATTCGCCTGTGTCTATTAAACCGTTGACAAAATCAGACCGGAACATTCAGATCTGCGATGGCTCCAAAGTGGCTTTGGTTGGCGCTGCCGCTGAGCCAGAGAAAGCAGTTGTCACGTATAGGTATGAAACAGCTTTGCCAACAGCCTTTTCAACCACACAGTGTCATTATTTCTGTTACAAATATTCAAATGATCCCAGAAGTACTGGGAATAAACGTCTATAGTTCAGATATAAACACTGATGTCTACGGAAGCGATCAAAATAGAGCAAATCACCTTTTGACAGTAACTTCGCGCTTCAAATAATGACTGTATCGATTACATCGTTATACCAATAGGTGGCGACAAGTGACTTTTAAAAATATGTATTTATCATTGAATCATTCATTGAAGAGATTAGTTCGAAAACGCTGATTCATCCAGTAATGAAACCAGTGAAGTATTTATGAGTGAGTCATTGAATCATTCATTCAAACCTTTACTTTGTTATTGTGTTTAATTTTCTGTTAAGTATCGTGGGACAATCTATTTATCTATTTGAAACAAAAAAATCGTGATTTCTCAATTCGAACCGTGCAGCTCTAGTGCCTGTGGTGACTTTCCTGCAAACTATATTACATTGCTTCTTGCACATTTCAAGACACAGTTGAAACGTCCAGTGAGTGGCTCTAAAAGTGTGTTCATTTTTATCCGAAACTGATCAATGTGAATCTGGCAATGTTTTATTATGTTTGGTTGTTGTAATGCTCGCTCGCATTTGAAAGTAATGTACACTATACTCTACCCTAAACCTAACCGATAGTGGTAAGTAACAAAAGCAAACGTGAGAAAGAAACACATTTGCTAAAGCAACCATGCCATTTTAGCTTGCGTTTAAAAGTCATTGAGCTGTTTTATCGTGACTCGTGTTTCGTCTGCATTGCAAGTGCAGTGTTGTACCAGGGGAAGTAATATTTTTGTAAAATCAATAATTAAATGGGGGGAAAAAAAGCTTCTTGCTGTAAAGAATTCATATAGTCTGTCCTCATGTGTCTTTACTGTGGTGGGCAGTTCTTACGCAGGTCCAAATGAAATATAGTCTTGTCTAAAAGCAATCAGTCCTCTGCATGTCACGGTGATCTTATCTGTTTTTTGAATGAGTGTCTGATCTTTAACAATGTCCTTCAGTTCATTAACATGCACAAGGGATTTTTTCAGTGCATCTTGGATTGATGTTGATGATCATGACCTGAATTCTCTTTTAGTATCTGATGTCATTCATCCCAGGGAGAGCGTTACATATGGTCGTGCTATATGTCGCTTGTCCAGTATGATCTTTTTGTCAACCTTGTTTGCTTCACATTTCAAATATCTCTGAATCTTTCTGACTTTAGAAGAATATATTTGGTGGGATGAGTGGTGGTGGGTGATATTTGGTGAGATTTGCATATGGTGATGGACAGGGGAAACATTTCAAGAGAGCAGGGTGAGCGTTTCATCATTTCACATATGAGATGGTCGGGCCGGTAAATTCTACTTTATGACTGGATTCTGCAATTTGTCCATGTTTTGTAGAAGGGGTGTATTACTTTATATTGAAGTTACTTTATGTATAAATGGCATTTAAATACATTTATTAATTAATAGATCTAGAGCCGCTCTAGATCTATTAATTAATAAATGTATTTAAATGCCATTTATACATAAAGTAACTTCAATATAAAGTAATCTGTAGTGATTCACTTCTAGTAAAGCTCTGAGCGAAAAAAGAGCATATTCAGGCCCAAACGTTTTCAGAGATGATATAAATAAATGAAATTATTTATAAAAAATGTTAATTTATTTATAATATCCTTTATTGTCTCAATGTAGATTATTAAATGGAAATTCTAGAAGCTCTAAAATATCATCTTTTAAAATATTTTTTTTTCTTCCTCCCTTCCAGCTGACATCATATCCACGGTTGAGTTCAACCCGACAGGAGAACTCCTGGCCACTGGGGACAAAGGTGGACGAGTGGTGGTCTTCCAGAGAGAACAGGAGGTAATTCGGGGTATTCACCAAAATCTACAGAATATTACTCACCAATCATGATTATGAATATTAAAACTGCTGTTTATAAAACAGATGCGTACAGTATATCACACCCAATATCACTGTACCCAACACAAAATAGAAGGAGTATAAATATAGTAGTCTTGACTATATGGTAGTCCTGATATAACTGAATATTGACTGAATTAGTTTTTGTGTGTGTGTGTGTGTGTCGGTTACAAACCTTCAAAGATCTAAAAACCCCTCGATGTTTTGTCTAGCATCACAAAAGTGTGAAAACCTTGCCGTCTGCTCCTCCTCGTCTCACTCTCGCATCATCTTTAAAGAGATTTCATGGTGTCTGTTAATCCTCACACCATGATTCATGCCCCACTCTGTTTCAGACCCCCTTTAACCCCCTCCCTCCCACCGAGGGCAAATCTGTTTCCATTAATACCCTCTTCTTCTCTCGGCCTGTGTGAGTTCTGCTTATTGATTTAGACGCTTCCCAAGGTGAGAACGGACCCTGAAGGATTCCACGCTCTGATCGGCATTCAGATATTCCTCTGACACAGACCACCTTTGTGCCTTGAGATCCTGACCTGCCCCTCTTATATTTCACGGCCTTCAGCAACAAAGAAAAAAATCAACACGCATTCCATGTACGACTGTAAAAGAGCGACACAGAGAGACTTAATATAAGCCAATATTTGAGCTGAAATTTCCAATTATAATTTGTTTGATGCCACTAATTAAGTCCTAAATGTATAATTAGGTTCAAGCATTTTAAATGTAGACTGTATGATTTGTAAATGGGATCCTCTGATAATGTGGGGGATGCATTTTTCATTCATGCATTTTCATACGTTATATAGGCAGTGATTTAAACTGTAGAAATAGGCAGTGAAACAAAGCAATGCACCAAATACACATAGCATGTCTGCAAATGCTACTAATCAAAAAGACAATGCTATTTTTTTTAAATCCATAAACAACTTCTGTCATTGCAGAGTAAGAACCACCCTCACCGTCGGGGGGAGTACAATGTTTACAGCACCTTTCAGAGCCACGAGCCCGAATTTGACTACTTGAAAAGCCTAGAGATTGAGGAGAAGATCAACAAGATCCGCTGGCTGCCTCAACAGAATGCCGCCTATTTCCTCCTGTCCACCAATGGTGAGCAAACACAATGTGTTCTCTTCATATGATCTGATGCTTCTCACTTTCCTGTTGAAAAGACTTGTTGGTAACTAGCATATGTGTGTTTGGATGTTGGCCCTCATCACGGGATGTTAATGTGCTGTTTTCTTTACCAGATATTTGTGGTGTTGCATATAACTTTCCTTAACTTTCTCACTATTTAGAAAAAAATACAATATATTAAATTGTTGGAATTAAAAGGGTGTTCTTTAAAGAACAAATAACGTGCTTCTTTAAGCTATATGTTATTTTTCACTGTGGTACAAAGTTTGTGAAATTAGGGGAAAATACCATATAGCAAAATATTTTCTTTAGATTTTTTTCCTATTATTATTTTTTAAAATTTTAGTTTTTGAAAGAAAATTCAAGGCTGCATTAAATTGATCTAAAATGACAGTAAAAACATTTATAATGTTACAAAACATTTTTTTAATTTTATTTAAAATAAATGCTGTTCATCAAAAAATCCTTTAAAAAAAACGTATCACAGTTTCCACAAGAACATTAGGCCGCACAACTGTCTTCATCAGATAATAATAAGAAATGTTTCTGGAGCACCACAGAATGATTTCTGAAGGATCACGTGACACTAAAGACTGGAGTAATGATGCTGAAAATTTAGCTTTGCCGTCACAGTAATAAATTGCATTTTAAAATATATTCAAACAGAAAACAGTTATTTTAAATTGTAATAATATTTCACATGTGTACAATGAGTGTTTATATAGATTTTTTTGCCTAGATAATTACTAGTAGGCAGAAATCTGAGAACTGAAATGACACATTGATTAATAAATGTAACATTTGTTGTTTACAGTGCCTTTTTGAGCAGTTAGACTGTTTTCTGCCGAGTAACTGCAGGCAATTAAAAGTAGCTGACATTCATCAGTTTTCCAGGCTCTCATGAAGCTATAGTCCTGTTTTGATGGACACATTAGAGCAGTTAGGTATACAGACAACAGCAGGGTCCAGTCAGGTGAATTGGGAGATCCTGTCTATTTTGTCGTGCCAGCTAAGTTCACCTTTTTTTGGTCCACTGTAAAGCGGCCAGTGCAGTTATTCTCTGCTACTAACATCACAAACACTGCTTCCACCTTACATGTTGTTCCTCATATCATCTCTCTTCCCAGATAAAACAGTGAAACTATGGAAGATCAGTGAGCGAGACAAACGACCAGAGGGCTACAATCTGAAGGATGAAGATGGCAGGATACGCGACCCTACCACCATCACAGCTCTGAGGGTAAGCAAAGTCCCTTAAAATCAAGACTCGGCGGTCTTTTTGCAAAGCCCAGTGGCAATAGACATACAAATACAACACTTCCCACACGTCCAATCCTGCTCTTGGAGGGCCACTTGTCCCTCTCAATACCTATGGGGGTTATAGCCCTGCTAAAGGTACCGAGAGATGCAATTTCTTTTTTCTCGTCTTCCCCTAGCCATGCGGTCTCCCCAAGCATAAGGAGAAAGGGAGTCTTAATCTGTTGGCTCTAGTATGTGAAGGGAAAAAAATAAGGTCAAGCTCTGTTGTAATTTGGCAGCCATAGCTTCCCCAGTGGAAGTGGGCACTCGTAGCGCAACAGAGGAGGATTATGGGTTGGAAGAAGGAATTTCATATCTCGCCAAATACAGCTGACAAGGTAGGGGGTTTGGGGAGTATTTTAGAGACTTGGTCTCATCGAATTTTAGATGGAGCTGTTGTTTGAGGTGTGAGAGTGGAGGAAAGGCCTGTGCATGTGCCAGTGTGGACCCACAGGAATATACCCTCCTACATACATGGATTTACTCTGTATAAGTGGAACGTGTCCAGGGGTGACCCGCTGCTACAGCTGGGGGCAGCTGATAAATGTCAAATGTTAATGTTGTGTTGATACTGTGGTATTCTCTCCTGGGAATCATTAGATTGATGCCAGGCAAGGTCTTTTTTTGTCATTTCTTCCTCTTTCAGAGTATGCAGGGCTTCTTGTTTTGGCAGCTGCCTAAGAGACATTGAGTAATTGATTACAGTTTAAAACAACAACAACATATTTCTATGATTTAATGAGGTTTGGGAGAAGACTCCAAGAAAAACCAAAGACCTCCACTTTTCCTTTGAGAAGATCTCGGAAAGTATGCGTTACCCTATTTTGAGAAATGTTAGTGTAATTGAACCGTTTTAATTATACATTGCCTTGTCGGACCCAGCTGCTCCAAAACTCTGAGCTGTGGCTCTCTTTAGGATAACACAAGTTTGAAGCCATCGTTATTCATGAACAACAATTGTTAAATATTAGTTAATTGCAATTTGTTAAATACAGTTAGTTAAAATACCTTTTTTGACCCAAGTAAATATAGTATAATATAATTTTGCCTTCATCCAAATACTTGGCTGTACTAAAGGATTTTTCCCTGTTTGAGAATTTCTCAGTAATTATGATATTGATTTATCCAGCAGTCATCCACTCCGAAAGATGTCAATATTCAACCCCTATTGTACCCTAATCCCGTCATCACAGAATGATGCTTTATTTTCTTCACTGGGCTTGGATTGACCCTCACGTAATGGGTGACTTAAGAGGACAATTTAAAATCACATTATGGGAGCAGAAGATGCCATTCTTAGACTTCACTGAAACGTACTAAACTATCCAAAGCTTAAAGTAACTGTTGATGCCCTGTGGGTTCTCATGTAATTATTGCCAAAAGAACAGATGTCCGGGATCAGTCTTGAATGCTGGAGGATAAGGCACTTAAAGCGAAATCAAAGTCATCCACTGGTTGTTTTCCCAAACACTGTGGCAATTGGGCTGACATGTCAACTTCTGGTTTAACAAAAGCTTAAGTTTCAGGGCAGGAAAACCTTTAATTTTTGTCATTTAGCAGGGATTTGACTTGTGAATCATTCACACTCAAAATATTTCAGTTTGTTTTTTCGTGCATTTCATTTGTATGACATATTTGAGTTCAGTTTTGAGTTCATGTTGACTTAAAGTAAGAATGTAAGTTGATTAAAATTGTACTGGTTTCCAAATCTGGGACAGTTCCAGGTATTTCAACCTGCATCCATTATTCATTTAGCATGAATTTACACCTCTCTTTCCTTTGGGGATACAGTAGACTGGTGGCTCTGGATAGGGGATATATTTAGGAGAGTGTTCTTGAGACGGCTGTAATGAGACGGCAGCAGTTCCATCAGCTTTTCCTTAACTAACACTGCAGCCCACTGGAGACCAGAGCAAGGAGAGCTGAAATCCTCTCCCAAATGTGTGTGTGTGTGTGTGTGTGTACAAAATCAGGGCATTTATCACTTTGCACAGACTGAGCAGAGAGATAAAGGGGGAGGTGAGGGTGGATCCCTCTCAGGGACTCCACAGGGTACATCTGCCCCGACTGTTATCCAGAGCGACGAGGGGCTACCGAGTGTTTACTGCCTTCATCTCTGTCTGCACTCCAAACATGAGGGGATTCACCCAGCAAAATTGTTTCTGCTGGGGGGAGGGGGTTGTCACTGTCAATAAAACAGTGAATCTGAGACATCTTTAGGAAGACATGTACGCTTTGTGTTTGATTCAAAGACAAAGAAACATGTTGGCTAAAAGGGTGTTTGTTTGTTTTTTAGCCTAAGAAAAGCAGCCTAGTGGAAAAATGATACTTTCCAGGGACCGACAGTAAGGATGGCGCAATGGTTTCCGGGGAAAAATTCATTGATCTCATATATGTTTTTACGTTTTGCAAAACAAAAATATTTGGATTTTTGTTATTATACTGAACCCCATAGAGTTATATCTGCTCCTCGATTTTGGTCTATGATTTTTTCCTTTTTGTATCAGTTATTTGTGTTTACTTATTTTAGACAGTCAGTCAGGGATTTTCAGTGACTCTTTCTGCAGGTTACATTGTAACACCAGTAGGTGGTAACATTTGACTGTCTTTATGAATGAGTCATTTAATCGTTAACTCCATTGATTCGTTCAAAAACGCTGATTCATTGAGGAATGAAACAAGTGACTATCTTTGAATTATACACTTAACCAATTCATTCAAAAACACTCATTCATTTAGGAATAAAATAGGGGCTGGCTGCATCTGAATATGCATACTTTCCTATATAGTAGGCAGAAATCAGTATGGCTATGTCCACATTTTCAGATTTTGGGATTGACAACCACATTTACTTGCACAGGTGTGAATTTTGAAATGTCTCGTTCACACAGCAACTATCAGTAGCATCTCGAATACTGTCTGGTTGAATGTGCAACGGGAGTCAAGCCCGTTTTCTGTTATCAGGAACCATGAATCCGTGTCTTTGAACGAATCAGTTAAGTTAATGACTCATTTACAGTGACCAAAGTAATATTAAGGATGGTGACATCCATAAAACTAAAACTCAGTCACAAGGTCAGCCATCAAATCTTCATTACCTGGTTATACATTTTTTTAATATACGTATCTGGTTGGAGAGCGGAGCATTTGAGTCGTGCTTAAAACCCAAAACTGACTGGAGAAGCTCCAGTGGAGAACTGTGACTGGATCTAAAATCTTCAGATCACACACAGCTCATATCCATTTCAATGTGTGGAAAACTCACAACACACGGTAGACACGCATTTGTCGTATTTCTCGTACTGTATGACGTGATAGACAAATATTTGCCCAGTCCAGTTTCATTCACACAGTGTGGGTTTTCAGACAATGCGGTTGTCAGTTCTGAAAATGTACGGGTTTGAGTTTGATAATCGAATGCGACTGTCACTGTGAACGTTACCGTATTAAGGACTATATACAGGAATGACAACCGTATTCTGCTGCTGTGTGAGCATAGCCTATGAGAAAAGAATGGTTTGCCTGAATTCATTAACAATCATTAAAAATCAATCAGTTTGACATTTTTAAGAAATAAGAAGGCCAGCAGTGGACTGTGCTGAAAGAAAAACGCATTTTACCACTCCACATACTCTCTCAGATTCCATGCTGATTTATGATTTCCATATTAACATTAAATCCGCAATGCTAAAGTTATGAATTATGTATAATGTGTTAATAAAGTGTACCCACATATTCAACCCCCTCTTATCATTAGTGACGGAATATCCCAGCAGTCAAACTTAATTAACGCTTGATTGAGAGATAATAGCTTCAATCAGTCTCGACTGGTCCCGTCAACTGAATTCATGACGCTATGCTCCTTGGGCTAATTTTATTATTGAAAGCACATGTAGGGTGGTAGAGGACATACCGGAAATCTGAAAAACCAAATTAGACTCACAATTTCTGTCACAATACAACAAATCTGAATTCTCCTAATATATGCTTTTATACATATTTTTTCTATTTAGAGTGAAATGTGACATGTAAATTAAATTTGTCAGATTAGAACACAGTTTTTGAGCGGGATTTTTTTTGTGTGAAATAACAGACTTGCTTTCACATATTATATGTGATGAAATGAATAATTAAAGTGGTAAAGGCTATAGAAAATGTATCAACAATAGGACATCCCTCACCCCACCCCACCCCCACTCTCTAACAGAAATGAAAAGATGGAGTTCCCATGTGTTAGGTGATAATGACCTGGCATGGTAGCGTGTGCCCCTCCTCCACGTCCCACTGCTCGGTGATGAGCGTTCCTCATCTCTGTAGTGAGTAGGACATGTCTGCCATGCCTCTTCTGTCATTAGTGGAGGGCTGCGCGCATTAAAAACCTCATGGGGCGTCTAACACTGACTGCGACGCTATACCCCTCCCGTGAAGCACATGTAGGAGCATCGGCCCAAGGATTAGTCATCATTAAAGAGATGGTAGACCTGTGTTTCCTATTGCCACACTGCATTGTGGGAGCTATACTCCACATGTCTTCAGATCTTGACCGTGGAGCTTTAGGAGCTGGCCGGATCCAGGCGTGGGCAAGTCATTTGAGAACAAAAGACCACCTCTGTTACTTAGCAAAAAAACAAAACAATAATATATGTTGTATAGTAAAGTGTTTTTCAGTGGTTAATGTACAGTACTGATATTTGGAGAAAAGGGTAACCGATGACACATGAAATTCCAATTTATAAAGCAGAGAGGTTTGGTCCTGCATGATGATTGGTCAATACAGTGTTTCAGCAGAGCTAGAATACAGAATATAGTAGGGATGCCCGATTTATCGACACCATATAGGTATCGGCCAACATGTTTTCCTTTTTTTAATGTTATCGTTATCGGCCCAATAAGAAAATTTGGCAGATATATTAAAGCTGATAAATAATGGATTATTTCCTTCAGTTGAGACACTTGAGATGCACACTGTTCGCCATGATGGTTTTGAATTGCTTGAAATATGATTGGATTCCCTTCAAAAAGAGTGCAACATGTGCAGCGCAAGTCCGTCATACAGGCTGCATAAAATTATAATGAAAACATTATAAATATGTGCTTGGGACATGAATTTTAATGGTGATACTTTTGTATTTGAGATCAGGTTAAAATTATATACAAATTTGGATTTTAGATTTATCTGCCAATTTTTTGGGGTGTCAGCTTTTCAAATATAAAGAATTATCAGTTATCCGTATCGCCTAAAATTTTCATATCAGTGCATCCCTAAAATATAGTTACAGATTTGATGCAAAACATGTTTTTACCGCACTTGGAGAATGCATAGAGACCAACTAATACCCTTGACAGTATTATATAATTAATATTATATATCACAATATAGCAAGGCCTCTCAAACCACATTACTTTGAGAAATGCACAGAATTGCTGAAATTTAATGACCACTTATTTTAGACAGTATTTACTCATTATATTTACTCATATAATGTATTTTAAAGCAGAAATTGAGTATGCTAATTTTGTTCAGATTAATCAGTCTGACTAAATAGGCATTCACTAATGGAAAGGATATCCATCCATTTTCCAAACCCCTATGGAGCCTATCCCAGCGTCTTAGGCCAAAAGCAGGGAAACACCCTGGATGGATGGGCAGTCTATCACAGGGCTAATACACACGGCCTATTCTCCAATTCACTTATCCTGCATGTCTTTGGATCGTTGCCCAAACCGGGACTTGAACCAGGGACCATCCTGCTTCGCATATCTTAGTATTTGCTGCAAATATTGACATTATTTCCTTTCTTTGTCTGTCTCTTTTCCTAACCATGTGTCTTCCTCCTCCTCTCAGGTGCCCGTGTTGAGACCCATGGACTTGATGGTGGAGGCAACACCTCGTCGCATTTTCTCTAATGCTCACACCTATCACATCAACTCCATCTCGGTCAACAGCGACTACGAAACATACATGTCCACAGATGACCTGAGGATCAACCTGTGGAACTTGGAGATCACAAACCGAAGCTTTAGTATCCTTTTACAATTTCAGATGGTTGCATGTCTGCATTTTCTTTTGTCTATGATTGAAAAGAAGTTTAGGGTGAAAAGTTTGACCTTTTTCAGAATTATTTGGCTATAAAGTAAATAGATCAAGCTTTAACATCAAATTAGAACAGTCTATCTTTCCATTCTCTACGCCACTTGTTCTATGTGGGTTTGCTGGAGCCTATCCCAGCACCTCAGGGCGAATACAACCCTGGACGGTTGGCCAGTCCATTATACAAACAGACACACACTCACACCTCCGAGCAATTTATTGTCTCCAAGCTAACCCGGAGGAAACCACACCAGCACAGGAAGAATATACAGATTCCAGACAGAAAGACCCCCTTGCTCAGCCAGGCTTTGAACCTATTAGAAGAATCAAATTGTAAAAGTCTAATACTTTAAGTAATGTCCCAAGTAAACATGGCATTGGCTATATTGAACTATAGGCCAATTACTTGACGGAAGTACTGATTCAAACTGCAATTTTATAAAAGTTAAGCCTTTGTCACTGCATTCCTTAGCCATTGTAAAATCACGGTAATGCCCTAACTTTTGTGACTTATTGCTTTATCTTCCCAGAAGTCACTTTGTATCCAGACACAATAAATACTGACAGGCTTTTGTTACTAAATTAAGAACAAAAGGATTCAGCTAAACCAGCAATCAAACAAACCCAATAAGCCACCTGCAGACTGTCTCTGCTGTCACTTAATTCTGACAGATAACACCTCTGTGATACACATTACGCCCATTACCCTTTATCAAGTGTCTGCCACTAATCCTGACCCCTGCTTCCCCTCCCAAAGGTAAATAGTGTCCAGCTTACCCAAGCACGCATCCCTATCGATCATTATTGATTACTGTTCTCAAGGACCCCGCAGAGCTGAGATGAGGAGTCTGTGGACAGTCTGTATTGGTGATTCTGTGGAGTCGCTCAAGGGAGTTGTAGAGATGATAAAGCCTGTTATTTGCCAACGGTCACACTGTAAATGTATGATCCTCGCTGCACGTCGTGATGGATAACCTGTCACTACCCAAGACCAACAGATGGATATAATGCTATATTTATGGCTCCTGAAGCTCTTTTATTTGACGTTTTTGATATAAGCCAGTTGTGAAAGCACAGATTCCTGGGAGAAATTTAGCATGAGAGATTTTCTCAGTTGCGGATTAACCTTTTTGAAAGATGATTCATCCAGTAATTTGGGAAATTTAGATCTGATGCAATTCAATACATGTCGAGCCAGACGCATGAATCAAGCAGGACATTTATTAAAAGGGATTTGATGACTCATGGGGAATAGGATTGTGGATCCTTCACTCTCCCTACTCAGATATTGTGGACATAAAGCCAGCCAACATGGAAGAGTTGACAGAGGTGATCACAGCGGCAGAGTTTCACCCTAACCAATGCAACACGCTTGTCTACAGTAGCAGCAAGGGCTCCATAAGATTGTGCGACATGAGAACCTCCGCACTTTGTGACAACCACTCTAAAAGTGAGTTTACTTAGTCTTTGGCTCTTTTTTTTAATCTTTTGACTGAGATGTGCTGTTCATTTAGTCTGCCAACTTAACTGCAGCCATTAGATCTTTTACTCAAGATCTTGGTTTAAACCAAATAGGGTTTAAAGCAGAATGACATTTCTCAGAGTTGGGGTCACGACCAGACCTCCTGAATATCTCACTTATCTGACACACCCATTTCAGAGTCTATAATTAACAAGCTGATGAGTTGATACAGGTGTGTTTGATTAGGGAAATAGGAGGCCTTCAAGGAGCAGGATTGAACACCCCTGCTATAGCATTTCATGTTCATAGTCAGTAGACGTAGATCATATCAGCAAACACACTGTGAGATGATCATGCAAAATTTCTGACACTGTCAGAATCAGAAAATGATCGCAGTCTGTCTTTGGTCGCAAGACCGTGACAACGATTGTCTTTGAACCTCTCTCATCACTGTACGACGTAGGACCACCATTTAGCAGCCACGCCCATTGAAATCACCACGATTGGTCATTGTTCGTCTGGGACAGCCCAAAATCGTACAATGCGTACCGGGCATAAGATGCTGGAAATGACTTTAGTCTTATCTCAGGCCTTGTCCACACAGACACGGGTATTTTTATAACCGGAGTTTTTCCTACAGCGTTTTAAAAAAAAAATCCCGTCCACACATGCTCGGTCTCCGTCTACATGAAAACGCAAAAACGCGCGGTCAAGAGCATGCCACGCCAGCAGGTGGCGATATAACCCTTAACCGTAAAGCCACGTTGGCCAATCAGAAGCGCAAATCTGACGTCAAACAAAGCGGATAACAGCGCACACTCTGACGTCGCAAGGCAAAAACCCTGGTTTCACTGTCTACACGACAACACTGTAACCGGCGTTTCTGAAAATCCTCACCCTGGCAGGGGTTTTCAAAAATGTTCGGTTTCAGTCTTTTTTCGTGTGGCCGAACCGCGTAAAAAAAATCACGGTTATAAAAATACCCGTGTCCGTGTGGACAGGGCCTTAGACTCTAAACCAGGGGTGTCAAAAGGGGCCACAGCTTCAACCTTAATTAAACGCACCTGATCCAGCTAATCCAGTCCATCAGGCTTATTTGACCTACTGGTATTTGTGTTGGAGCAGGGTTAGAACTAAACTCTGTAGGATTGTGGCCCACCAGGAACTGAGTTTGGCACCCCTGCCCTAAACCTACACCAAGATCCAGACCAAAACACCAAGTAATGAGATTCAGACAAAGGCCACAAGATCAAGGCCTCAACTATGCTCCTGAAATATTTACTCATCTGTATCTTATTGTTTCTCCCTATCAGTATTTGAGGAACCAGAAGACCCCAGTAATCGCTCCTTCTTCTCAGAGATCATCTCCTCCATCTCAGATGTGAAATTCAGCCACAGTGGACGCTACTTGATGACTCGTGACTATCTCACAGTGAAGGTGTGGGATGTGAACATGGAGAGCAAGCCTTTGGAAACATACCAGGTACTGGCTCTGCAGATTAGACCATGACCAATGACTGCAGTCATTTTTTACAGTCGGCGTTTATGATGACGCCATAAACAAGTCTTGTCATTTTCAGTCAAATACTCCGCAAGGTACTGATCGTCTCTGCTTTCGGTTCTTTCTTTGACAGGTCCATGACTACCTTAGGAGTAAGCTATGCTCTCTGTACGAAAACGACTGCATCTTCGACAAGTTTGAATGTGTCTGGAATGGAACTGACAGGTGTGTCAAAAGCAGGTGTGTCCAGTCCTCCTCCTGGATGTCCACATTCCAGTGTTTAGCTGTATCCTGGAGCTTTCGAGTAATCCTGAAAACCTTGATTAGTGGTTCAGATGCGTTTAATTAGGGTTGGAGGAAAACTCTACTGGAAGGTGTCCCTCCAGGAGCAGGATTGGACAAATCCCTGGTCAAAAACAATCAGGTTTTGCTCATTGATTTCGGACTGTATATGGCTGATGTCAGGTAATAAGAACTAATAATTGTCCTTTTCCTTTCCCATTAGTGTCCTAATGACAGGCTCCTACAACAATTTCTTCCGTATGTTCGATCGGAACACTAAGCGTGATGTGACTCTCGAGGCCTCGCGGGAGAACAGCAAACCCAGAGCCATCCTCAAGCCACGCAAAGTTTGTGTTGGCGGCAAGCGTCGGAAAGACGAAATCAGTGTGGACAGTCTGGACTTCAGTAAGAAGATCCTACACACCGCATGGCACCCCTACGAGAACATCATTGCTGTGGCTGCCACCAACAACCTCTACATATTTCAGGACAAGGTCAACTAGCATGTAGCTCTGATGTCTCCAGTTATCACAGCGACAAAAGGCGCCATTTCTCTAGATGGCTTGAGAGTGGAAAGGTTGGACTCACTAGCATTGAACGTGAGAAACATCTAGATGAGCTTTGCCTTTACAGCAGATTTGATGCTGCACTGAATCGAACTAAACGAAACTTGAAGGTGCGTCGCAAACCACGGACAATGACACTGGCTGTTGGACTGCTTTTGTTTTTAATTACTTCAAATCTTCTTCCTCTCTGTAGGTTTATTGGTTATGCACAGCAATACAGAGAGGATCGTTTTACTTTTAATGTAGCTGATAGCCCTTTCACATGACTCGTGTCAGGGTTTGACCGCTCTAACCGTCACGAGAAGCGTTGTAGATGCCCTTCATGGAAGGATGTTGCTAGGTAGCAAGAAAGAGGAAATGTACAAAATGAAAATAGTGAACGCAACCAAAATGTGTTTAGTGTAGAAAAAAAGTCATGCTTTGAAAGAAAGAAAAAACTTGAATGTGTTCCTCTGAATGTCATGATATGCATTTGAAGTCTGAGCAGAGGCTCAGCCTCTTCCATCTTGCTGGCATCATTCATGTAATGTCATGCAATCATTGGATATGCTTCAACAGTTAAAAGTCAAATTTGCGTGAAACACATGCTACACAGCTTGACACCATGCTGTGTAGCATGCAATGGATTAGGGAACATTGAGTCATGTGAAAGGGCCTTTTCGAGTGAGTCAGTATTCAGCCTACATCTGATTCTCACCCCTTGGCAGGACAGAGGCTTTGATAATTGAATATGTTGTTGTGGCTGCTGAGGTAATCAGCTTATTTTCATTTCTCAGTTTACTTCATGAAGGTGCATGCATCATCAAAACCCAACTTCAGGGTTGACTGATGCAACAAACAAGGAATGGTGTAAAACTGATGTAGCAAATGTACTAATGTTCTGCTTTTTGTTCTAATTTTATAAAGAAAAGGAGAAATTTAATAAAAATCAAGAGGAACATTTTGTATTTGATTTCATGGCCCGAGAAAGACGAGATCAGAACACAAGTGCTAAAAAACAAAACAAAAAGATTGCATTTATTTCCAGTCTACATAGAAATAGCAACAAGCCCAAATCAAACCACTTTTCGAAACTTCACATACACATGTACTGAAGGGTACACAACTTATTTCACACCCTTTCTGCACTGACCTGCCATATTAGCCTGCTACAATTGATGCTCACAAGAGGCTGCAGTGTGACACGTACAAACGCATTCCCTGCCTGACCACCGAAGTTCATTGATTGACAATCTGCCTTGTGCTAGCCTACAGCTAGTGGCCGTACAGGGAATCATCTTGCACAGTTTGAGAAGATTGACATGATGTGCTGTGATGAGTGCAGGCTCATGCTCAGTCCTCTGAAGTCCACTACGGCTTCACTTTGTGGAGCGGCGGCTGGGTTCAGAGGCTGTGGGGGGTGGAGGGGGTCCCCGGCGGTCCAGGTCCTCGATGTAGAACATGATGAGTTTGCGGCGCTCTTCCGGGACGCAGTCTAGGACCAGGTAACGTTTATCATTCTGAAGGACTTTCTCAATGTCATTAAGGGCCTGGTCTGACTCCTGGATCAGCTTCCGTGATCTACAGAGAACACAAGCTTGACAGCTTTAAAAGTGACCAAGTTTAAATTCTAGATGCTTAAATGTTGCTAATGAGGCTAGTTACGTTAATTTTAAATACAAATCTGTCATTTATTTACTCATGCCATCACAAACCTGTAGGACTGTGTTCAAAATATTTACCATTTTTGAAAATGAAACTGATGTGCATACCTATACGTGATGAATTTGGTTTCTTTCAGGAGAGTTCGGAAGTCAGCTTTGGCTGTGATATATTTGTCCTTTATGTAATCTTCAAATTCCCGCTGTTTCTTCTAGAAGGTGAAAGAGTGAACGTTTCAAAAAGTTGATGCCAAGGCAAAAAAAAGTCAATATGACAACCAAATAATTGAACTCACTCGATCACTGCTGGAGAACTTGATGCAGCGTGGGTCATCTTTGATGATCTTCTTCACCTCTTTCCATGTGGTGGTTAAGGTGATCTATGATTAAATAGTTACAGAAGCAGCGTGAACACATGGACAACCCACAGATACACATTTAAGGTCTTAAGAATCCATTTGATACTCAAATTTAAACGTCCGTTAAATAGGGAATCATAACATCCATCTCTCTTGTCCTTTTTTTTGTTCAGATACAAAACCTCTATTAACAAAAAGGTTCGACTAAACTTTTTACGTTGGAAAATTTTCAAAACTTTATCTATTTAGCAGACCCTTTTATCCAAATCATTTTGGTACATGTGAACATTAGTATTAATTTTCTATAATAATTATAACATTATCATAGTAATGTGTGTACATACATACATTATATAAGCATATAATACTTATATAAATAAAATTAATTATAACAACAACATATGTGTTATTATAAGCATATAACAATAATTATTATATATAAAATGTATATATTTATACTTTGATTAGTTATTATAATAAAATAAAGCATACAACAATACACTGACTAATCTATATATATATATATAATTTAGAATTATTATTATATACTTATTTAATAACAACATCAATATATTATTATATACTTAGAATTATATAATATAATTATGATTTACTTAGAATTATTATTATATACTTATTTAATAACAACATCAATATATTATTATATACTTAGAATTATATAATATAATTATGATTTACTTAGAATTATTATTATATACTTATTTAATAACAACATCAATATATTATTATATACTTAGAATTATATAATATAATTCTGATATAATTAAACAAATATATAATAATTCTAAGTAAATCATAATTATATTATATAATTCTAAGTATATAATAATATATTGATGTTGTTATTAAATAAGTATATAATAATAATTCTAAGTATATCATAATTATATAATATAATTCTAAGTATATAATAATATATTGATGTTGTTATTATACAAGCATATAGTAACAGTAAGTATTATATACATTACATATTTATACTGTTACTAAATAATTCTAAGTATAGAAGTATATAATAACAATATATTAATATTGTTACTATATGCCTGTATAATAACATACTAATAATAACATATTTATTCTAGGATGAGAATTATTATTATTATATAATGTATATAACAATATATTGATATTATATAAATATTCTTGTTGTGACCCTTGACTCACCATAGAGGTCTCATCCAACAGCTGCCTGAAATGTTCTTTCTTCCTCTTGGTAAGAGCCTCCACATGTTCTTCAAACAGTTTCTCCTTCTCATGTCTCTCCAGCAGAGATGACGACTCCCACCGGTGGTCTTTACGCAGGTTGCGCCTCGTTTCAGACCAGGAAGCATCCGTTGACCGTACCTATATGTGAACACACAAGAGAACAAAAAAATTGAGGAAAATGTATATTTAATACAATGTACAATTAGAAATATAATTTTTCAGAGTGAGCCAGCACTGACCATATCTGACATGAGAGCTTTGAAGTGCTGGACGGCCTCCTCTCGTTTGTGCTGCTCTCTCTCTCTGTCGATCTCTTTGGTCTGTTCAGATCGAGCTCTCTGCACTTCCCGCTCTCTCTCCCTCAGACTGGCCTCGATGCGAGCCTGCCGTTCCAGCTCCTTCTCCGCATCCGCATCCACGTTCTACACAACACAAAGACACGCGGACGTTTCTCATCATATGTGCTATGATATTATTGGTTAAAATGTTTCCACGTCCAAGTTGCCTTGGTTGTGTCACGATAAAAGTGGTTTCTGCCCTGTCCTAATGACTCATACACAATAAGACCATCCTTCTGACCTTCGCCTGCTTCTCCACATACTGTTTGTACAGTTCTTCTCTAGCAGCTGAGCTCTCCACTGCTTTGTAGCGCTGGTCCGTCTCCAGCTTGTCCTTCACTTTGCTCCAGCGCTGAGAGACGTCCACGTGGTGGTCTGACAGCAAATCGAAGAAATCCTGTTTCACCTGCAGCCAGAAACACAAGTTGTCAGAGCTTAACAGAATATGGTTCAATTCAACAGCACTTCTGACTTCCTTTCAATGCAAGTGGTGATTTCAGGGTGGTTGTGGGAGGCCGGCGACAGACCTTTTCCACTTTGTTTTTGGAGTCGTCTTTGTCCTTCTTTCTCAAGGCCGCCATAAACTCTGTGAACATGGTTTCTCTGTCCTTCATCTTCTCGATGGCCTTGAAACGAGGATCCTTGGAGTGTTTTGCTGCAAACTCACTGAATGTGGTCCTAAAAGGGAAATTAACACGTGACATTTTAGTCTGTCAATCTAATCTGTTCACACTTGGTATTAAGATGCATATCAGCAGATCAAAGCAGACTTTTATTAAAAGTAGCAGACCCTAATTAAAACAGACCTAATGTGAAATCTGGCATCTTCCATCATCTTTCGGAAGTCATCTTTAGCCTGCATGAGTTTATTCTTCTTCTCCTTCCTCTCTTCTTCAGCACGAGTCTTCACATACTGATCAAACACCTGCACAGTGAATGGAGACAAATTCACAAAGCTGCTCACTTGTGCTCATTCAGCAAACCAGCAAACACTCTCACCTGTTTCCTCTCCTTGGGGTTGAGCAGCAAATATCGAGGGTCAAACACAATCTTGTGCAGTTCTTTGTCCCAAGTGGAAAAAGCTGAAACCTGCAGGTATGAAGTGGGCAGAAAGATGGCTTACCAACGAACAGATCATCCAATAATGTTAAAACAACACTTCATTCAAGTTAATCATCATATGTGACATACATACAAACGTCACTTGTGTTGAACCCACAACATTCCTTTAACAACATACAAAATTACAATGATACACAAATCTACATCAAATCACCTACTATTACACTACCGCAAAACACTGATAGATATGGATGAAAAATAAAATCAAGCAACACAAAGTACAAACTTATCCATTACTCAATAGTTGCTTGAAATGCCAAATAAGTACTATTTTTTAAAATAAATCACAGATAGAGGTTCTAGTATGAACAGTGAACAGAGAGGGCACGAACACTACTGTCAAGTAGGACTGGGTGGTATGACTCTTGATTCGTCAGTATTAGCTCTGCTGTAGAACACACGGCTCATCCACGTGTTTGATTCTTTCATATCTCTTGTATCACACTGTTAACTCGCTCTCTCTTGTTTGATTCTAACTCAACTGATGCCATCTTGAGTCTCACTAATCGACTATTAAAATCAAAACTGGAGGACTTCAGTATCAAAGGTACTGTAATCTTGTTGCCAATATATATATATATATTTTTTTTTACATTTTAACCAATTATAATAAAAGGGTATGATTTTAAAACCGTTTCAATTCATATCAATATTTTATGTCTAGTAATTATTTATTTGGTGAAAAGCCTTATAATATGAGGTACGATTGTACATCATTATTGTACATATTAGCTTGATATGAACTGTTTTTCTTCACAG